CCATTTGGAATTTTTTTTATGTTAATGAGACAGTATTAGTGTAGGGTGTGTTTTAAATCATTCTCTCTGAGATATAAAAGAGATTAAGTAAGCAAACTGGGGTGTCCTAGGCTGAGTTCTACAGAGGAGCACAGCCAATGAAGTGTGTGTGTGTATATGCATACAGTATTATCTAACTAAAAATGCCAGTTTGCTTAGGTTAAGAATCCCTACTCTAGGTCATGAGTATTAATCACTAAAACAAAAATCCAAACCCATTGCCACTGAGTCAATTCTGACTCAAACTGACTCCCATTGGGTTTCCAAGTATGTAAATCTCTGCCATAGTAGATCACCTCATCTACCTCTCGCGGAGCAGCTGGTGGGTCTGAACCACAGACTTTCTGATTAACAACCAAGGCAGGCATATACACTTTTGACAGGAATCAGGAAATTGAGCAGCCACTCCTCAGAAGGAAGATTGGGCAATCTACTTCCATAGAGATACCTCCTGGGAAACCTAAGGAGGGGTCGCTATGAGTCAGAAATGACTCCACAGCAGTGAGGTTTTTTTTTTTTTTAATGCTCAGTTAGAACCTGACTTCGTTGTTGAAACTAGAGTACATAGTGAGATAGATGACAGAGCCAAAAATGGAGATGCCATAGGAGAGGCAGGCAGGCTACTGGCTCAGTGTTTGTCCAAGCAACAGAGACAAACTGACCAGAGCTATCTTAAACAGTAATATTAATGATAATAATAAAAAACCTAAACCAGTTGCTGTTGAGTCAAATTTGACTCATTGACCCTATAAGACAGTGTAGAATTGCCCCATAAGGTTTCTAAGACTGTAAATCTCTACAGAAGCAAACTGTCTCATCTTTCTCCCTTGGAGCAGCTCATGGGTTCAAACCACTGACTTTTCATTAACGACTGCACCACCAGAGCTCCTTCACAGAACTAGACAGGCCAGTGATTAATTCCTGATGGTGGAGTAGGCAAAGGATTTGATCACATCCAGTTGCCATTGAGTAGATTCTGACTCATGGCAACTTCATGTGTGTCAGAGTAGAACTGGGTTCCATAGGGTTTTCAATGACTGACTTTTCAGAGGTGAACTGCCATGCCTTTTTCTGAGGGGCCTCTGGGTGACTTGAACCTCCAATCTTTTAGTCAGTAGCCAAGTACATAAGCTATTCACACCATCAAGGGACTCCAAAGGATTTGCAGGCTAGTGATAATATCCTATTTCAATTTGGTTCAATTTCATTGCCCTTGTGCAATTTAATACCCAAATTGTTGATGAGACTCTTTAGTAAAGTCTGCAGTTACACAAAAACCTGTGGGGCTGCTTTGGAGAAAATTAGGAGGGTCAGATCTGGGTTTGTATGCGTCAGAGGAAAGGAAACAGAGAGAGCAGCTGTGGCAGGTGTTGTTGTTGTTGTTTGCCTTTGAGTCGGACCCAACTCATAGCGATCCCTCCTTGGGTTTCCAAGGTGGTATCACTATGGAAGTGGATTGCCCAACCTTCCTTCCAAGGAGTGGCTGGTAGGTTTGAACCACCAGCCTTCTGGTTAGGAGTCAAGTGCTTGGCAGGTGAGACGCAGTGAAATCAGGCGCAGAGACAGAAACTTGGAGTCAGTAATGGCTATCAGAATGTAAGTCCATGTGACTTCATTGACATCTGGTGGGAGATTTGAAATTCCCAGAAGACTTAAAGTAAGGACTTGGACTAATATTATTTAAATCTCAAAGGATAAGAGAACTGAGTATAACTTTGGGCTATACTTAAAAACAATAAAGAGGTAGAGTGCTCACTTTCCCCACATGATAATGTGATGAGATTTACCTCAAGACCCCAAAATAACATTGTGGGATTTCTTTTTCCTCGTCTTGATTTTTCATTTCATTGTATAGCAATGTTAAAATATCTCCCCTCACCACAGAAACAGTGCTCCCAAATATAAAATTGCTTCACCATGGAATGAACATTTCATTTAACATTTATTGATGTCTACTAAGTGCAAGTTGCTTGAAGAGAGTCTAGATGACTAAGACATAGTCGTTCCGTAGAGTTTGGACTCCGTGGGAGAGAAAGACATGCAAAACATAATACAAGAAGGATCAGGTAAGTACTAAATGGAGGGCAGGACAATGTTATTTCTGATTGAGGAACAATGATATAGAACCAATGAATGAATGGATGTTCTCCTTGAAGTTTTTAATTGTTTCTTGGATTAAGGTCTCTTTCCTGTTAAGAGAAAATAAAACCACTCTGACATGATATGGAACATGTAGAAGTCATCCTACGACTATAAAAATGCAAGAAACAGAATAGTATGGACAATTTATCATTTACCCTGTCCAATTTTCTGTGCCTGGGACAAAGGTACTGAAGAAAAACCTCCTAAGAATATAGTATATTGCACAGTGGTTATGAGAGTGTGCCCTGGAGGGAAGTCAGGTATCTTTGCATCATGTCTCTGCTATTTTACTAGCTCTTTGATCTTGGGTAAATCACTGCTTCATCTCTCTTGGCTTTAGATTATCCATCTGTAAAATGAGATAATAGCATCTCATTGTTACTGTTGCTATTGAATTAAATGAGTTCACTTGTGAGAAGTGTTTGGTATACTGTAAGTACTCAATGCATTTTAGGTATTATTTTTATTATTCTGAAAGGAACATTGGAAAAAATCTTGCATCTATCAGTTTAATGACAGTTTTTTGAATCGATATTTTCTGCTCCTGTTTACTTCTTCAGTTAGTGAACTCCTTAAATTTACAAGAAATATAATTAAATCCTACTTTCTTTTGTCCAGCAGATGCCTCTTTCCACTTTGAATATGTGCACCTCTTGTTCTAGTAATTAAAGATTTAATGTACCAATCTGTCATCTTCTGTTAAATTGAATCAGTCTGCCTCAGAATCTTCTTTATTCCTTTCTTATTTTTCTTGAGGTTCTAAAATAGTTATAGAATGCTATAGTGTACTCCATGAATTCCAGTTTTTTTATAAGGGAAGTGTTGTGTTTTCTGTTTTGTTTGTGATAACCCTACCAATATTCAGTGTTTTATGAGCTTTCTGACTATAACACCTTGTTGAATCAGATCTTTAGGGTACAGTTACATAGTCTTTTCCAAACTGTGTTTTGTGAAATGCAATTCTGTGGGGTCTCAACAAATATTCCATAAAATGGATTCTAATTTGGGAAACACTGAATTAGACAATGTTTTTCAGTAGTGTTTAATGTCCTATGCATCTGAAACACAGTAGATACTGTTTATTGAATTCATTTCTCCATAGCATCCTTTTTTGGGCATCATCTGTTGGACTAGTGTTCTGGGAAACATAACATAAGAAATGCTGATTTATAATAAATTCTAACTCCAACTGATGGTTTAGATCCATTATCCTATAGGAATAATTTCCCCTTAAAGACATTATTATGTGGAAGCATTTTCCTTGCTTTTCTGATCATTCAAAGATTCTTATGTAATCTTTTTACAGTATATTCTTATCATCCTGACAAAAGCCTAATTAAATCATGTCTGCACACTTCAAGAAGTTGTTCTGTATTCTCTTTCTAAGATTACTTTAAAAAAACTTACTAAGTAGTGATAGGCATGCAGGTGTAGTAGGAGGAATATGAATTCACACAGCTCTAGCTTGGAGTCATTGTTCCAGCACTTGGTAGCCATATAACCTCACTTAGTCTCTTTGAACCTTACTTTTGTCATTTTTGTACAGAGACATAACTCTTTTGTCCTTGCTCTTTGGTACAATTTTTTACCTCTGTCTTCTGACTGAGTTGATCAGGCAAATCAGCTTTTTTTTTTTTTTTTAATTTTAAAATTTGTGTTGGATATGGAATTTGATGAAAACAAAAAAGTGCAGACTGGCACATGGGATACTAGGGCTATTTGTAGGTTTCATGACAAACAAATGTAAGTAGTCACTGTCTATAATTTACCCTCCCCCTACATATATTTATATATATATTTGGGGAGATCTAGTAGTGTAGTGCCTAAAGCACTTGACTGCTAACCAGAAGGCTGGGGGTTCAAACCCACCAGCCACTCTTCAGAAGGAAGGTTGGGCAATCTACATCCGTAGTGATACTGCCTCGGAAACCGAAGGAGAGGTCGCTATGAGTCGGGTCCGACTCGACGGCTCATAACAACACAACAACACAACAACAACTACATATATTTATCCAAGCAGGAAAAATTAGATCACTTTCAGTCACCAAGAGCCAAATCCTTGGGAGAGGCAGCTAAGAAGGATAGTGTTATGTTCCATTAGCCCACTCCTTCGGAGAGAGACTCCTGAAGTATATGAAAAAAGCATGGCATTAAAATGGGTGGGCAGCTTGAAAGAAACCATGATATTTCTGTTTTCATCTTTCCACCAAATGATATTGTGTTACTGAAAACTTAAAATTTGCATCCTTATATGGCATAGTGCCTAAGGCATTTGACTGCTAACCAGAAGGCTGGAGGTTCAAACCCACCAGCCACTCCTCAGAAGGAAAGTTGGGCAATCTACTTCCACAGTGACACCGCCTCAGAAACCCAAGGAGGGGTCACTATGAGTTGGATCTGACTTGGCAGCAGTGAGTGAGCATGAGTGATATTTTAACTCATAGTTGAGACTTTAGGTATTCAAAATTTAACCAGGCTATTTTAAAATATGAGGAGGCTAATTTTAAGTTTTCAGTAATATAATATCATTTGGTGAAATGATGAGTCAGAATCAATGGCAGTGGGTTTGGTTTTTGGTTTAAAGTCTCAAATTTCTTCCTTCAATAGGCTTTTTTTTTTAAAAAAAAAATGTGCTCTGGGTGCAAATTTACTGAGAAAAATTTGGTTTGCATTCAACAGTTTGTGTACATTTGATTTCATGCCCCGATTACCCCTCAAAAGGCTTTTGGATTTAAGTTCCAGTGTGTTCTTCCAGGTAAGTAGCTACTTCCCAGCCTTTTTCTTCTAAGCCTGCCATAAGGAAACAATGTAAAAGCCCCTTATTTGAAGTTATAAACATTACCATATATTCTCTGAATGCCTCTGATATCATCCTGTGAAAGTTTGAAAGTCTTGGGATCTCCAACTCCATATGTTGGAAACATCACAGCATTAGGGTTAGTTGAATGGCCTAGCCCCAAAGAATGGCCAAATTCATGAGTTGCAGTGTACAGGAAGTTAATTCCTACAACAGAAGCAACAGCATGCAGTAAATATAGAAATACTCAACTCTCAGTCCTCCTTAATTTATTTGTTTCTAGGCTTCCAAAGGGGTTGGGAGGTAGAGGGAGAACCAGAATAGTAGTGCTTTAATTCCATCACAACTTTTGCTTTAAAAAAAAAAAAAAGTGCTGTTTTTCTGCCTATTCACTTCTTACATAATTAATCAGGCAGCAGTGTTCTGTTGTAGAAAGCAAAAACTTCAGAGGCTCTAAGACCTAGATTTGAAACTCGGCATCTCCTTCTAAGCCTTGCCCAGTTGCAACTCTGGACAAATTAATTGCTGTTGTTGAGTCTCAGTCTCTCATCTGTTAAACAGAGATCATAATTCCCACCTTGCAGATTTGTCACAATGATTGCAGTTGGCTAATATCTGGAAAATACAATAAAGCTCAATGCACTGCCATCAAGTGGGATCCTACTCATAGCAACCCCTCCTTGGGTTTCCAAGGTGGTGTCACTACGGAAGTAGATTGCCCAACTTCCTTCAGAGGAGTGGCTGGTGGGTTTGAATGGCCAGACTTCTGGTCAGCAGTCAAATACCTTAGGCACTGTTTTGGTTACTTAGTGCCACTCTAACATAAATACCACAAATGGGATGGCTTGAACAAGCCGGAGCTTATTCTTATAATTTGGAGGCTTTAAGTCTGAATTCAAAGTGCCAGGCTCTAGGGGCTGGGTGAAAGCCCCTCAACCTTGGCTTTCAGCTTTGCCTCCTGCTCTGGGCCCACTGAAGCTGGAGGCTCTTCTTCACTCAGCTGCTGGCTGCTGAGGCTGACAAGCCCAAGGTCGACAAGGAAAAAGGCACAGTCCCAATGTTACCAAACCACATGGCAGGCCATTAATTCAAGTCCATTAAAGGTCCCAAGGTTGGCAGAACATGGCAGGCTGCTGAACAACAACCCAGCTATAAGCAGGGTTCAAGCATGTCATAAACTAGAGACTGTTCCCAAAGTTGTTTCTTATATACGGGAAGCAGACCACATACACAAAGGAGCTACTCAGCTGCTCCAACAGAGTCCACCATGGAGTTAATTACCAAGATCACCATGGGGAATAACCATTCAGCTGCCCAGCCTGTCAACTAGGCCCAGCCAAGTTGACACACAAACTTAACCACCACAGGCACTAAGCCACCAGAGCTCCTATCTGGAAAATAATGGCTGTTTAATAAATGACAGTGGCTTTGGTTATCAGGAAAGAGAAAGTTGGCTCTGAAAAGGGGGAGACTCTCTGGACATATTGGAACATGTAGCAAGGCATTAAAATGAGTGGCAGGATCTCCAGGTAAAGCTGGGTTTTGTTTTATGATTCATTAAATTGAATTACATATATCCTTTTTCAGGAGCTCTGGTGACATAGTGCCTAAGGCATTTGACTACTAACCAGAAGGCTGGTGATTCAAACCCACCAGCCACTCCTCAGAAGGAAGACTGGGCAATCTACTTCCATAGTGATACCACCTCGGAAACCCAAGAAGAGGTCGCTATTAGTCAGAACTGACTCCACAGCTGTGAGTTTGGTTTGAGATATCCTTTTCTTTCCTGCGGATGCAAAGAAAGGCTTTGCAAATAAGGAGAAGGTATGAGTATTTGAATTGAAGCAGTGGTCAGTGCTTCAACTGTATTAGATTGAAGGAAGCTACTTTTAACCTACCTTGGGCAGGAAGAAAAAAGCTGAAAAAGATGTGAAAGATAAGAAAGAAGTTTTATGTAGGTTAGATTTTCAATTTTATATAGGTTAGATTTTCATAGCTAAGCATCACTTTGAATTTTGGTGAATCTCCACTGCCAAATACAAGTACTACCTTCCCTTTCAGGGTCAGTTAGTAGCTGTTTTGTTAGAATTGTCTCAGGTAGGATTACTTATGCCAGAGCTCCTCTCCATTGGTTCTCTGATCTGTCAGTAATCTCTGACATTGTAAAGTGGTGAACGTAATGGGCTGGGTCATGGTTTAGTTCTTTTTGACATGAACAATAGTAAGTCCAGAACTGTATGTAATTTTTTTTAAAAAAAGTATATATAGATAAATCATAAAGTTTCATATCATAAAGTTTGCCATTTAAGCCATTTTAAAGTGTACAGTTCAGTGGCATTATAGCATTAGGCATATTCACAATGTTGTGCAACCATCACCATCAAATTCTTAAATATCACGGTCTCAGATCCTCTTTCTCCTCTGTTTAAAATACTCATTTATAGAAAATGGAAAGAAAAAAGTATACTAAGCACAGTATAAGCATTATCTCATTTAATTCCAGAAACAACCCTGTTTTGGGCTATTTATATAGATGAGGAAATTGAGGCTCAAAGATGTTTAACAAGTTGCCCAAGGAGACACAGTAAGTGATTGGCAGAGGTATAAAAATTGAATCCAATAGTGCTTGATGTCATAGCCTGTGCTTTCATCCTCTGTATATGTGCATTATGAATATGTTAAATGTGGTAATGGATTTAAAACATGTAGTACAGAGGTTAGCACTTAGTAAGGACTCAATAAATGTTATAAATTAAAAATTATATTATAGTTAATATTATAAGTTAATTAAATATTATAAGGATAAAATTAAAGTTAGTATAAGAAAGTTGAGATTAAAAAATGTATTGAAATGGTTGATGGGATACAAGATGCTATACCGATTTTGCTGCCATCAGTCCAGCGTTCATCCTCATCAAAGTGAGCATCTCCTCCTATGTCTTTCCCTGGTGCAAAGGCATGAGCCAGTGTATTTCCAGGCCCATCAAATGGGTAAATGTCCCCATGAGCTGAAAGAAAACAGGGTGGTTCAGGGAGGAACTGGGATTAACGATATTACATTGAGGGGTTTGCAGTTAAAGACATGAAACAAAATGTGTGTGAATTATTGAGTAGAAAACTTATTTGTTCTATTCATTTCACTCAATTACAATAAAAAAATAAAAGATAGAATAATAATAAAGGAGAAAGTAGAGTGATTGCCATTAGTAACTGAATTTATCTCCAATCATTTTATCCTTTCTGTTTATATGATTTTTGAGGCTAGAAAGAAATCCAGTCCAATTTGCCTGCATTGTAGTTACAAGCATCCAGTTGCATATACAGAGTGGCTTGGGTGTTCATCCTGAGCATATGTGTCATGTTTTTTTCTTTCCTAGAACCATTACTAGTCACTGGTAATCACCATACATTGAAATATACTGGATATGAGACTTTAAAAACATTCACATCCAGCATAAAGTGGCTTTCAATATTTGTTAAATTTGATCACTTTGGTTGGCTAGGTGGTAGAAGGAGGGAGAATGAGTATGAGTATTACATTCAGCAAATAATTTGTGTACCATTTAGTATAATTTTTCTTAAAAACCTATTTTATTATTTGTGGGTATAGTAAAGAGTTCTTTGGAGAACAATGTTCAAGGTCTCTTAAAATGCCTTTTTAATAGTCCTTCTATTGGTGGCATAGTGCCTAAGGCATTTGACTGCTAACCAGAAGGCTGGCGGTTCAAACCCACCAGCCACTCCTCGGGAGGAAGGTTGGGCAATCTACTTCCGTAGTGATACCACCTCGGAAACCCAAGGAGGGGTCATTATGAGTCGGATCCTACTTGACAGCAGTGTGGTTTTTTTTTTTTTTGTTTCTGTTGGTGATCTAGAGTTGTTTATCATCAATTGGTATCAGGTCTTATCCAGTTTATCCAGTTCTTGAGAAGTGTGTGGTATCAAGATTAGTACCTTTGGTGACACTTTCTTTGGTGTTGTGTTAGGGTTGAAATTCAAATTTTAGCTAAATTCATAGTATACAGGTAGTATAATATTAGAACAGCCCAAATTAAGCAACATTTTTTCTCTTAGATTTGCATCGTGAAACACTAGCAATTAATAGGAGTTCCTATATATATCTCTTTAAGTTCCTTAATATGAAAGCTCTCCATTTTCTACTTTTTTTGCTATTTGAAAGAGCCCCTGGTTGAGCAGTGGTCAAAGCATTCCACTACTAACTAAAAGGTTGGCGGTTCAAATCCACCAGCTCAGGGGGGGAAAGATGTAGCAGTCTACTTCATTAAAGATTATAGTCTTGGGAACCTTGTGGAGGCATTTCTACTGTGTCTTGTAGGGTTGCTATGAATCTGAATCAACTTTCTGGCAGTGGGTTTGGTTGCTTCTTGAAACGACTTAGCAACATCATAGACTTTCCTACCTCTTGGAGGCCACTTGAAGCCTTTTGGAAGCTGTAAATCCTTCTCTTGGTTTCATGTTAATGCTAGCTGTTGTTGTTGTTGTTAGGTGACGTCAAATTAATTTTCAACTCATGGTGACTTCATGTGACACAACAGAATCACCCCATAAGATTTTGTAGGCTGTGATCTTTACAGGAGCAGATTGCCAGGTCTTTCAGCTGCAGAACTGCTGGGTGGATTGAAAAGCCAGCTTTTTGATTAGCAGCCAAGCACTTAACCATTGTACCACCAGAGCTCCTAGATAGATTGTAAATTTATATGTGTAGGTGGTTGTTATTGTTAGGGGCCATTGACGTGGCTCCGACTCATAGTGACTCTGTGTACAACAGAACAAAACACTGCCTGATCCTGTGCCGCCCTTATAGTTGTTATATTTGAGCCCATTGTTGCAGCCACGGTGTCAATTTGTGAAAAATCTTCCTCTTTTTCACAGACCCTCTACTTTACAAAGCATGATGTCCTTCTCCAGAGACTGGTCCCTCCTGGTAACATACAAAGTACGTGAGACAAAATCTTGCTGTCATTACTTCTAAGAAGCATTCTGGTTGTACTTCTTCCAAGACAGGTTTGCCCATTCTTCCATGGTATACTCAGTATTCTTTACCAGCACCATAATTCAAAGACATCAATTCTTCAAACTCCCTTATTCATTGTTCACCTCTCCTACGCATTTGAGGTGATTGTAAGTACCGTAGTTTGAGTCAGATGCCCCTTCATCCTCAAATGGACACCTCTGCTTTTTAATACTTCGAAGAGATCTTTTGCAACAGATTTGCTCAATGCCTGTTTGACTTCTTGGCTGCTGCTTCCATAGGCATTGACTGTGGATCCAAGTAAAATGAAATCCTTGACAACTTCAATCTTTTCTCCGTTTATCATGATGTTGCTTATTGGTCTAGTTGTGAGGGTTTTTGTTTTCTTTATGTTGACATGTAATCCATCCTGAAAGGGATAGTCTTTGATCTTCATCAGTAAGTGTTTCAAGTCCTCTTCACTTCTAGCAAGCAAGGTGGTGTCATCTGCATATTACAAGTTGTTAATGAGTCTTCCTCCAATCCCGATGTCATTTGCTTTATCATATAGTGCAGCTTCTCAGATTATTTTCTTAGCATAAAGATTGAATAAGTATGGTGAAAGATTACAACCCTGACACACACCATTCCTGATTTTAAACCACAGAGTTCTTTGTTCTATTCGAATGACTGACTACCTCTCAGTCTACGTACAGGTTTCATATGAGCACAACTAAATGTTCTGGAATTCCCATTTTTTGCAATGTTATCCATAATTTGTTATGACTGTACAGTTAAATGTGTTTGCATAGTCAACAAAACACAGATAAACATCTTTCTGATATTCTGTGCTTTCAGACAAGATCCATCCAACATCAGCAATGGCATCCCTTTTTATATATCCTCTTCTGAATCCAGCTTGAATTTCTGGCAGTTCCTTGTCATTGTACTTCTGCAAACATTTTTGAATTATCTTCAGCAAAATTTTACTTGTGTGTAATTTTAATGATCTTGTTCAATAATTTCCAAATTCTATTGGACCACCTTTCTTTGGAATGGGCAAAAAAATGGATCTCTTCCAGTGGAATGGCCATGTAGCTGTCTTCCAGATTTCTTGGAATAGGAGAGTAAGTGCTTCCAGCATTGTATCTATCTGCTGAAACATCTCAATTGGTATTCTGTTAATTCCTGGAACCTTGTTTCCACCAATGCCTACAGTGCAGCTTGGACTTCTTCCTTCAGTACCATTGGTTCTTGATGCTACCTCCTGAAAGTAGAGGCTTGCATGTTGACCATTGACCAATTCTTTTTGGCACAGTGACTCTGTGTCTTCTTTCCATCTTCTTTTGATGCTTCCTGCATTGTTCAATATTTTTCCCATAGAATCCTTCAGTATGGCAGCTCAAGACTCAATTTTTTTCTTCAGTTCTTTCAACTTGAGAAATGCTGAGTATATTTTCCCTTTTGGTTTTCTGGCTTCAGGTCCTTGCACATTCCATTATAATACTTTGCTTTATCTTCTTGAGCTTCCCTTTGAAATAGTCTGTTCAGTTCTTTTACCTCATCATTTATTCCTTTCACCTTAGTTTCTTTAGATTAAAACTGACAGTAAAGTAGTGGTATATGTGTATAAATTCACACAAATATATAACATATGTTCTATGTTATATTAATATATGTTGTGTTGTTCTTGTTATGTTCCATTTAGTCAGACCCGACTCATAGCGACCCCTCCTTGGGTTTCCGAGGCAGTATCACTATGGAAGTAGATTGCCCCATCTTCCTTCTGAGGAGTGGCTAGTGGGTTTGAACTGCCAGCCTTCTGGTTAGCAGTCAAGTGCCTTAGGCACTATGCTACCAGAGCTCCCATATCAATATATAGATATAGATACATAGAATTATATGTATCAATTTCACTTTCCTCCTGAGAGATTTGGGCTTGATTCCTGACTAATGTACCTCATGCAGAGTCACCACCCATCTGTCAGTAGAGGCTTGCACGTTGCTATGATGTTGATGAAGTTACAGTGGCGCTTCCAGACTAAGATGGTCTAGGAAGAGAGACCTGGTGATCTACTTCCAAAAATCAGCCAATTTTTGGCAACAACATATCTGACAAGGGACTAACCTCTAACACTTACAGAAAACTTCACCTCAACAATAAAAATACAAACAATCCAATTAAAAAATGGGCAGAGGACAAGAACAAACACTTCACCAAAGAAGATTTACTGGTGTGCAGCAAAACATGAAGAAATGCTCAAGATCATTAGCTATTAGACAGATGCAAATCAAAACAGCAATGAAATATCAATTCATCCCAGTAATAACAGCAAAGTTAAAAAAAAAAGAAAACAAGAAATGCTGGAGAGGGTATGGAGAGATTGGAACTCTGTTACACTGTTGGTGGGGATGTAAAATGGTACAACCACTGTGGGAAATGGTATGGTGCTTCTTTAAAAAGTTGGAAATAGAAATACCATATGATTCAGCAATCCTGCTAGTAGGTATATATCCTAGAGAAATAAGAGCCATGACACAAACAGATATATGCATACCTATGTTCATGGCAGCATTATTCAGAATCCTTACCAGAGGTGGGAGGAGAAGTAAGGGTAAGTATCTAACTAGAGATTAGACAGTATAAAATTAAAGGGTGAAGGGGAAGACAATATACAACAAGGGGGAGGGCACCACAGCATGACCAATGGCAAAGGAAATCAGTGGGAGGAGCACAAGAGTAAAAGACAACAAGGTAAATACTATTCCATACACAATCCTGCAATAATAGTAATTATAAACAATATCTACAAGTAGATGCATAGGTAGATATGCAAGATGAACAGATGAGGGAAGGTGAATGGGAGTACACACACAAGTATACATACACAGGTTTGTCACAGGGTATGTCTACATAGTATTTGTATGTGTTTGAAATATATCCAAGGATATAGTAGAGCACACAGGGGCAAAGTTCTCAAAACATCTTAGTCATAACTAGACACCTTGAGGGAATGAGCCATTGGGTTTGGACACTTAGGGCTACAGTCTCTGGGGTAAAAATATTTTTGAAAACAGAGTTGAATACAAAAACAAAAAACCCTGAAAATCAGCTAATGGAAGTCTTATGGGTCATAATGTCTGATCTGCCACCAATCAGGAGGATGGCACTGGATTAGGCATCATTTTGCTCTATTGTGGGTGAGATTGGCATGAGTTAGAGGTGACCTCATGGCAGCTAACAACATATATTACATGTGGTGGGACAATGGTTAAGTGCTTGGCTGCAAATGGAAAGGCTGGCATTTGGAATGCACCTAGTGTCTCTGCTGGAGATCCACCTGGCAATCTGGTAGTTCTGCTGTGTCACATGGTATCATCCAACTAATAACAATAACCTAAAAACATAATAAATCATACTATAAAAAGGGATGACGAATTTTTTTTTCCTGTAAAGGGCTAGAAAATAAGAAAGTTAGACTTTATGGGCCAGATAGTCTCTGTCATAATTACTCAATTCTGTCATTTTTAGCCCAAAAGCAGTCACAGAGAATAAGTAAATAAAGGAGTATGTCTATGTTCCAATAAAACTTCATTTATAAAAACAGACAATGAGCTGGATTTGGAATATGGGCTGTATTTTGCCAACCCTTGCTATTAAAAGTGGCTCTAAATTAACAGAATAAAAAAAGTAATCATATTGCTAAAAAGTATATCATTAAAATTTTTAAATCCTAGAATGAGAAGGACAATGATACAAACAACAAATAAAATAGCACATATAATTAGCTTAAAGCATCTTACCTCCTCTGGCAAAGCCAATCTTGATATCAGCTTTTCCCCAATTAAATCTTCTGAATTTTAGGGGGATCTCATTGCCCCAAATTTTTAAAGCCTTTGTCACTAATCGATCCACTGTGGAGCGTGATAAGTCTCGAGTGTATGAGTCTACCCTGGCAGCAAACGAGAAAAGAATATTTGATGTCTTAGGAAAGGGACTTTATTATTTTTGCCAAAATGAGCCAATGCGAAACTAACCTGTAGGTGACTACTTTGGAAGTCCATTTTGGGTGACCTGGGAATAGTGAGTATTCTAAAACATCTGGCACACCACATCTGGACTTCTGCATTATTTCCATGACACGTGAGCTTAATATTCCAGTTATAGGCAGGCTAAAGAACTTTTGCATCTCCTTGAGTTTGTCTCGTAAACTGTTGTCATCCCTTGCATTGGAATCACGTGAATAAAATCTCTGGAGATAGTCCTGTTGAAAAGAGAGTAACTGATCTATAATTCTTTTTTTTAATGCATTTTATTGAAATATAATTTATGTATAGTAAAAAATACACAAAACTAAAGTGACATGGGTCAATGCTTTTTTTTTGCAGTGTTCCCTCCCCTCCTCTCCCACCCCTAGCAAACAACAAAGTTTCCCTCCATATATAAACCTTTCCTTGACAACAACAAACTAATACTATATTTTATTTGTCCTTCTGTGATTGACTTATTTCACTCAGCGTAATGTCCACCAAGTTCATCCATATTATGCAGTGTTTTGCAGACTCTACATTATTCTTTAGTGCTGCATAGCATTTCATTATGTGTGTGTACCATAGTTTGGTCATCACTCTTCTGCTGATGGGCACATAGGTTGTTTCCATCTTTTTGCTATTGTAAATAGTGCTGCAGTGAACATGTATGTACATATATTTGTTCCTATGCTGGCTCTCACCTCTCTAGGATATATAACTAGTAATGGGATTGCTGGGTCAAATGGTATCTCCATTTCCAGCTTTCTAAGGAATCACTATATTGCTTTTCATAGTGGTTGTATCACTTCACAGTCCCACTAGCAGTATATGAGAGTCCCAATCTCTCCACGTCCCTGCCAGCATGTGTTATTTTCTGTCTTGTTGAACCTTGCCATCAATGCTGGGGTGAGGTGGTATCTCGTTGTTTTGATTTGCATCTCTGTGATGGCCAATGATCTTGAGCATCTCTTCATGTATTAGCTGGCCACCTGAATATCCTCCTTGGTGAAGTGTCTATTCATGTCTTCTGCCCATTTTTCAATTAGATTGTTAATTCCTTTGGTGTTGAGGCATTTTCTTGGAGATAAGTCCCTTGCCAGATATGTACTTAACAGCAAGTATGAATTTGTTGCTGTCATTTTTTGTAATGTGCTTTTTCATGGTGTCAATTTTTTTGTTCCATATAATTTTCTATGCTGAGCTTGTTTTGTTTATGAATCGTGTTATCACTTCTTTTGTTGCTATTTTAGTATTTGCTAAATATTTGTGCTGGTCCTCTTTTTTATTTTGGTGTGAAGGTTTATCACTTTTGTTTGAGGTTACTCTGTGATTTATAGTTTTCTTCCCAAGTTTAGAACAGTGCATTCTATCTTGTAGTTGTCTTGACATCCATACCATCTAGAAGTTCTGTAACAACAGTTTTTTCCCTCTTTTTGGTTTGTTGTTCTTGTTGTTATGTGCTGTCAAGCTGGACCCAACTCATAGTGACCCCTCCTTCGGTTTCCGAGGTGGTATCACTGTGGAAGTAGATTGCCCAACCTTCCTTCTCAGGATTGGCTGGTAGGTTTGAACCGCCAGCCTTCTGGTTACCAGTCAAGTGCCTTAGGCACTATGATCCTTTTTTGGTTTATAGTTGTCCTCATTTGTTGGTTGGTGTCTCTGGTTCCCTGTTTATGATCTTGTAGGCTTATTTACTTTGGATACTTCCATAGCTGGGTTGGTTTCTGGGTTGTATCATCATGTGTGTTAATGGTCAGTTGTTGCTTCTCTATCCAAAGGACTTCCTTTAGCATCTCTTGTAAGGTTGGTCTGGTTTGAACAAATTCCTGTAATTTCTGCTTATCTTGAAATGTGCTAATTTCACCATCATATTTGAGGGACAATTTTACTGGGTACGTAATACTTGGTTGGAAATTTTTCTCTTTCAGGGTTTTATATATACCATCCCATCATCTTCTCTCCTGCATGCTTTCTGTCGAGAAATCCGAGCTTAGTCTTACTGGTTGTCTCTTGTAAGTAACTTTTTGTTTTTCCTGTGCTGCTCTCATGATTCTTTCTTTGTCTTTGGTTTTGGTGAGTTTGCTGATGATATGTCTTGGTGATTTTCTTTTCACGTCTATCCTGTTTGGAGTTCATTGGACTTCCTGAATGGATATATTCTCATCTTTCATCATATCAAGGAAATTCTCCTCCAACAAATCTTGGACAATTTTCTCAGTGGTTTTATTTTTCTCTTCCTGTTCTGGAATTCCAATGACATGTAAGTTATTCCTTTTGATGGTATCCCACATGAACCTTAGGCTTTCTTCATTTTGTTTTGATCTTTTTTCTGATTGATCCCTTTCCAAAGAAGTATTCAGGTATTTGTCTTCAATCTCATTAATTCTGTCTTCCATTGCATCCATTCTACTCCTTTGCCCCTTCAATGTGTTATCTATTTCTGACAATTTAGTATTAACCTTCTGGATTTCTATCTGTAGATTCTGAATCATTTCTAATTTTTCACTTATTTTGTCATTTTGTTCCTGTATTTTCTTCTGAAATTCTTCTAGCATTTTGTCTGTGTTTTCCTTGATCTGGCTCTCAGTCCTTTGAAGATGCCTAAATATAATTCTTTTGAATTCATTATTAGGGAGTTCCAATGCTGTGTCTTCCTCAGGGATGTGTTTTGGGTCTGTGTCCTGGTCCTTTGTTTCTCCTGGTTTATCTTGCTTTGTTGTATGGACTGTGGTGCTTTGTTGTCTCCAAGGCATTGTGTGTGTGTTTGTGTTCATATTTAATTGGTGATTGTATGTTGAAGTGACTTGCCCACAATTTTCATTTTCTTTGTTTTATTTGTATGTTATCTATACAAGCAGAGCACTGTGCTGTGCTCCTCAATGCACTAGTTGATAGCACTTTTACACACACCACCTATCTCCTTTCCTGTTGTCAGCCTCTTGTATGTCCCTGCCGATTGGCAAACAGAGCCTATTCTTAGGTCTCTGGAATCTGAATGAGAATGCTATCACTTTAAAATCCAAAATGGTTGCCACTTGTAAAGATTCAAAATGACTGCACCCTTGGTCACTTTAAATATCCAAAATGGCCACCACTTGTAAACATTCAAAATGGCTGCACCTTGGTCACTTTAAATATCCAAAATGCCCATTGCTTGTAAACATTCAAAATGGCTGTGCCATCGGTCACTTTAAATATCCAAAATGGCTGACACATGTAAACAATCAAAATGACTGCACCCTCCAGACAGTGGGAAGTCTACAGCTCAGGTTGTCTCCCTCCTTGTTGTTTCCCTTCCTACTCATGGGCCACCAGTGCAGTCATCTCTGCAGCCCTTGGTGACTAGGGCTGATCTTCAAGTCAATTCTCAGGTCCCAACACCACTTGGAAATATTCAGGCTGTTGGTCCTGTCAGAGTAACTGACAGTCCGCAGCTCTGACCATCCGCAGCTCCGACCGTCTCTGTACTCGCTGTTTTCGTTCGGATTTTTCCACTAGTTGGTGTCTAATCCACTTCTGTATAGTTCCTTTTAAAATTCAGGGCTCCAGGATTATCTTCTGTATCTCTGTCAATTGTTTTTTTCTTTTCTTGGTTGAAGAGTGTCTGTGTCGCTTATCTGCCTATTCCTCCATCTTACCGGAAGTTCCCTGATCTGTAATCCTTGTTTATTTTCTTCTTTTGTCTTAGAAGTCTATGTATGTTTTGCTTCAGATTTCTGTGGATTCAAAAAGTGGTTTGATGACAGAATAGTTACATTGCCACCAAATTAAAAGGCACTTGACTACTAACAAGAAGGCTGGCAGTTCAAACCCACCAGCCACTCCTTGGAAGGAAGGTTGGGCAATTTGCTTCTGTAGTGATACTGCCTCAGAAACCCAAGGAGGGGTCACTATGAGTTGGATCTGACTTGATGGTTCATAACAACAATAACAACAGTGGGGAGAATATTTAATATTGATAATAAAGCACTGTCATTCCATTTCCTGAACAAAAGAGACCCTCAATTGATATTTTGTCATGTTAGATGTTTCAAGGAGAGCATCTCTATAGAAGTAGACTGCCCAGTCTTCCTTCTGAGGAGTGCTGGTGGGTTTGAACCGCCAGCCTTCTGGTTAGCAGTCAAATGCCTTAGGCACTATGCCACCAGAGCTTCCGAAACACATTGTACACTCTGTAAAACATAGACTCCTTTGTAAGGGCCAGTCCGGAAGAGTGCCTTGGTGTGTCCACAAGAGGTACAACTGAGACCTTCCCTGAGCTTCATAGGACCTATGGGGGAGATCCAAAGCCAACCAGCCCATCTAAGATTCTGTTGAGATCTGGTCCCAGCTAGGGTTAGAAGATGTTAAAATTTGAGCCCTGGGAAAGGATACTAGATTATTTAGTTGAAGGTACATATTCTCCAGGTGAAGACACTGAAGCTCATAGCAACTAAATGATTTGTCCAGATTCACATGTTAGTAGCAGAACTGGATCTCAGTTCTGTGCTCTTTCCACTATTAAATCCCTGGTAAAACCTACTTTTGGAGAATTACAGGATAAAGCAGGTCTCTCAGGCCTGCTGTGTGCTCAATTGGGTCCCTGGGAATTTCTCAAAGGCTTCTAGTGTCTGGATATGAGGACGGAAGTGCAGCAGTCAAAATATGAAAAAAGGAAAAAGCGAGTGAAATAACAATAATAGCAACCTCACAATAACATTTATTAAGCACTTACTGTGTGTCAGGCAGATTTATGTATTTATCTCATTTAAACTTTATACCCACCCTGTGAAGTACATATGACGTTGTTATCTCTATTTTATATATGAATCAACAAGGCTCAAAGAAGCAAAATAACTTGCATGAAGTCACCCCATGAATATTTGAAGAGTCAGTATTTGAACTTAAGTGTTCTGATTTCAAAATCTATTTTGTTAAAAAAAAAGTAAAAGATTATATAATGGATGATGGTATTGTTATTGAAATGATTTAGACATTGGCTTACTAATTTGCAGAGTAGATGGTAATAGGTACTTGTTTCATATCCTCTCAGGAATATGTGCTTTAGTAACTAACATTAATATGGTGCTCTCTCTTCCTGTTACCAATGACTGTGTTTCATTCAATACAACAAATACTTATTGTTCATCCATGACAATTAGGAATTAATCCCTTATTTAAAAACAACCCATTTTAATCTTCCAGAGCCCCAGACTTTACAAAGACATCCTTTGGAAGAAGTCTCTCTGTGTCCTTGGGATGAATTTTCCTGCCTTCTGACCTCTGTCTAATTTATTAGTAGTCTGCATGCTAAGTGAAGGGGCTAAATGCTCTTGCAAATGAACACATTTTGGAGAATGCAGTAAGTCAAACTATATGAAATTCTTGTTTTGAAGAGATGAAAAATAGGAGTCAGATATCAGTAATTTCATTTGTTTTAATATATCACTGGGAGTTTTTGAAAGTCAATGTGGAATAAAACTTCACTTTTCTCATCTTTAAAACTTAAATCAACAAACAGTATTTCAGGGTAAACATTCCATTATTTTACTAAACAATAATTATTTACACTTATGCTTCTTATCGAGTAGTATATCAGAAAGAGTTTTTGAACCAGAACAACTAGTCCCTTGATTCCTATCTCTGTCACTAACAAGCATGTAAATCAGTTTAACATTGATTTCTTCTTTTTTCCCAGGATGGTGCTAAAGATTGAGCAACATAATGTATACGGAGGTACTTCATAATTTCTAATTGTTACAACATTTATATAGTTGGCATCATAGACTCATGTATTCATTAGACTGATGCCGCAAGATATAAAACACATAGTATTATTATTCCCATTGAATACATAAGAAAACAGAGTCAGAATTTATAGCTTACCCATCATCAACTTGAAATAGAAAGTTGTAACTTCTACCTACATCTTCTGACTTCAAGTCCTTCTGTTATAGGTTGCCTTCATCTTAAGGGGTAATACTCAATACACTTTATGAAGAGGATCTCAAGTTACAATTAATAATAACAATAACAAATGAAGTTTATTGCGTATGAACACTGTTTGTGGCACTGTGCTAAATGCACCACAGCACTGCTCTTACCTCCAGCTTCCAAACTGGAAAACTGATACTCAGAGAAGTTTAATAACAGTTCTAAGTTCATCTACAGCAGTGAGCGGAGGAGCTGGAACCAGTTTTGGCAGTGTCTAAAGCCTTCTCTTGTAACTGCTACTTGATTAAAGCATGCATTACTTTCATAAGCAGAAAAATTACCAAAAAGAAAATTCATTGTGGTACTAACACAGAAGGACAAATAAATACAAGCATGCGTGCTAATGGTGATGGTGAGACCATGGAGGCCGACTGAGGCGAGTGAGCTGAGACATACCTGAGCCTGTTTCCATTGCTGCTCATTCATGCCTCCTGCCTCCGGGGGCAGCGGCAGGGCCAGGCTGTTGGTCAGCAGACACAGGACGCCCAGCACTGCGACCCACATAACTGCATCAAGGGGCGATTGTTCTCAGACTTATTGTGGTTTATTGTTTTCTCCTAGAGGCTGGAGATACTTATATAGCTTCTCAGCCCTGAATGTGAAATAGGTGACTCATTTGAGTGTTTTCTTTCTGTGCAGTACCTACAGAACTTTGAAAGTGTATGTGCTATTTTTCATTAATGACAACAAGGAAGTAGTGTCTACTTATTGGCAGGAAGCACACAGTGTTCAAAGGATTTTTTTTTTTTTTCTGTCTGTTGTATAAATTGAATCAGTGAGAAAACACATTTTATTTGCCAGAATCAATTAACTACTTGGGGAAGCATGTCTTCTCAATTTAAAATTTTGGGGAGCATCTTGTGAGACATTATAGTACCATACATCTTAAAAAAAACATTTTAAAAAGAGTTTGTATGTATAAAAGGTACATAAAAATACAAACAAATAAGTGTTTAATTATAATCTTTAAATCATAGTATAAAGTAAGTACTCTGTAACAGCAGCCAAAGTCAAGAAATAGAAGGTTGCCAAGATCCTGTGTTTTTTTGTGGAGAGGAAAGTTGCAGGGCTGGAAGGTGGAGGTGCTGTGCTGGGACTGGGTCAGTGGCCAGCACAGAGCCTGGGTTCCATCCTCTTATCTTACACATATCTAAGATGGAGCAGTAAGAATTCTTTTTTTTAAGTCTTCTTTTAACCAGATTATTTCTTTTCTTAGTGGTCAAAATACTCCGAATTCCTCTTGAATTACATGAAAAAACAAGCAAACAAACAAAAAAACCCAAACCCTCAAGCACAGACTTGACTATTCACCTGTCCTTCCTCTCAGGGTTCATATTCTGTAGTGACAGGTTTCCCCAAAGCTAGACCTTGAACTTGGAGTCACTTAATCAAATCTTTTTCTTCCAATCATTCTGACTCTGGCTGCTACCCAGATCCGGGTACACCTGTACCTTAGGTTGGGCTGGGTTGGTGCTCCATACACGTAGTGGTTATTCTACAAGCAGCAGTTTAGGAGGGCATTGGTGGTTCAGTGGTAGAATCCTTGCCTTCCATTTGGGAGACCAGGGTTCAATTCCTGCCCAGTACTCATTAGCCATCTGACAGTGGAGGCTTACATGGTGCTGTGAGGCTGAGCAGGTTTCAGCAGAGCTTCTAGACTAGGAAGAAAGTCCTGGTGATCTACTTCTGAAAATCAGCCAGTGAAAACCCTGTGGATCACAATGGCTGATTCTGTAACCAACTATGGGGATGGCGTAGCATTTCATTTTGTTGTGCATGGGATCACCATGAGTGACAACTAACAACAACAACAAACAATTGAGGACCTGCAACCTAGAGATCTAGTCCAACCACTTCATCTCACCAAAGATGAAACTGAGACCAAACAGATAAACTAATTTTCCCAAGGTCATACAACTAGTTATTAGCAGTCATGACTCCTAGTTCAGTACTCTTTCTACCACATTACATTGCTTTTTTACTTTGTAATAGGTCTACCTCAGATTCTTTATCTGAAAAATGGGGATAGTACCTTTCTCTTAGGGCTGGGGTTGGTGCAGAGGGAAACCTTGTAGGATGAAGCTGATGCTATGAGTGGCTTCCCCACTGTGTTTGGCTGAGAGGCAACTGGAACTGGACAAACACCCTCTAAGTCTGTTCCAAGTAGAGTGAGAGCTACTGCAGCAACACTGCCTCTCATAGGCCTCTGTCCTAAAGCCTATGCACCAGCTGATGGAGAGTTTCAGGGTTAGGAAACTGGAAGAGGAAGAAGCACACGAACAAAAGGGACGTGAAGGAGAGGATGTTATGTGAGATTAAAGCCTATGCTCAGATCCCATTCTACTGCAAGCTTGCTTCCTGCACACCAAAGGGAGAAAGCAAAAACACTGTATTTTTCCTTTCTAGGTTTACCTGTGTTATTGACTGTGCAAAGGCATTTGACTGTATGGATCATGACAAAAATTACAGATAACACTGTGAAGAATAAGAATTCCAGAACATTTAATTGTGCTCAGAAAGAACCTGCACATACACCAAGAGACAGTGGTTCAAACACAACAAAGGTCTACTTAGTTTAAAGTCAGGAAAGGTGTGCATCAGGGTTCAATCCTTTCACCATATTTTTTACTCTGTCTACTCCTTTCTTCCCGCTTCCCCCAAATCTTAGCCTATGAAGCATCTGGACCTTACTTAACCAAGCTTGCAAGAAGAAGGAAGTGTAAGGAAGTTTTAAATAGGGCTAAATGTTCTTTTTCATCAGTGTCAATTTTTATAAGTTACATTTCAGAAAGAGGAAAGTGATTCTCTTCACCCTCACCCAAACTGCAAAGGAGGATATAACCCTTTTTGCTTGACCTTTTGTAGAGGCCTCACAAGAAGCAGCCCTATGTAGTGGATTTTATTGACGAGTAGGGAGTTGGGCTGCTAACCAAACCCAACAGCTGCTCTGTGAGAGAAAGATGAGGCAGGCTCCTTCAGTAAAGATTTACAGCCTTAGAAACCCTGTGGGGCAGTTCTACTCTGTCCTGTTGTTGTTGTTGTTGTTATGTGCTGTCGAGTCGGCCCCGACTCATAGCGACCCCTCCTTGGTTTCCGAGGCAGTATCTCTACGGAAGTAGATTGCCCCATCTTCCTTCTGAGGAGTGGCTGGTGGGTTTGAACCCCCAGCCTTCTGGTTAGCAGTCAAGTGCCTTAGGCACTAAGCTACCAGAACTCCTTACTCTGTCCTATAGGGTCAATAAGAATCAGATATGACTTGAAAAGAGTGTGTTTTTTGCTTTGTTTTGTTTTATGGAGTAATGTAAAGAGAGCTACATGCCATCACCATACTGTAGATAATTTAACACATAGTACTAAACTTCTCTGTTCTTAAAAACTTGTCTTTCATTAACTAGATCTGCCTCTGCTTTGCTGCTTGGCTTTTCTTGTTTCTACTTGCCTCCATCCCTAAACTTTTGTGCCTTTTATATATTTATTTATAATATCTCTTCCAGTCAGTTGGCCAGGTAGCTGTCTTCCAAATCTCTTGGCATAACTGAGTGAGTGCCTTCAATGGGGCATCTGTTTGTTGAAATATCTCAATCGGTATGCCATCAATTTCCGGAGCCTTGTTCTTTGCCAGTTCATTCATTGCAGCTGGCGCAGGATCGGGCAGTGTTTCGTTCTGCTGTGCATGGGGTCGCTATGAGTCGGAAATGACTCGACGGCACTTAACAACAACAACAACATATTTATTTATGGCCTTTTTTTTGGTAATCTCCACTTGTCTCTTAACTATCAAATTCTTAAAGCCTTCCTTTCCCTTGCAAACAGTGCATCAAGGTATTTTTCTAAACAAAGACAAGTTATTTCTCTAGAGAAACTGTATGGTAATGCAACAACATCTCCTCAGCTACATCGGATAACATGACTCCATTTAGAGTTTGTAGAGAGTTAAGTAGTATATGGCTGTAGATGGTGCCATAGTACCTAAGGCATTTGACTGCTAACCAGAAGACTGGTGGTTCAAACCCACCAGCCACTCCTCAGAAGGAAGGTTGGGTAATCTACTTCCATAGTGATACCACCTTGGAATTTGGTTTAGTTTTGTAGGCAAAGAACTCAGTTTGGGCTTTGGCTCTAGTTTCTGGAAAATAGCCCTTTAGAATTTCTCAAGCAATTGAGGTGTCTTTGTTTTTTCTAAAACAGACAGGCAATACTTAAACATGGGCAAGTGAGTTAGAAGCCCCTAGCTTATCACCTATCCATCCGCCTCAGGAAGGGAGGGGGCATGATGCAGTCAAGCATGCATTTTCATTGATCCATGCACATGCATTACACTCCCATTATGTATAAGCTTTGAGGCCCCAGTGACTATTGTAAGTGATACTGGACCTGGAAGCTTCTTTTTGGGTCTTTCTGAATTGGCAAGAACATCTACACACAGAGAGGATGGCATGCCTCTGGGGTATTGAAAACCTCAGGTTGGGACCTTTCTCAGACCTTCCATGATGCATCTCTTCACTTAGCATTTCTGATTATAATAAACAGGTAACTGTAAGTATAGGAAATAAAAACCCATTGCCATCAAGTCAGTTCCACTCATAATGACCTTATAAGACAGAGTGGAACTGCTCCATTGTGTTTCCAAGGTGGTAAATATATACAGAAGTAGATTGCCACATCTTTCTCTTACAGAGCGGCTGGTTGTTTGAACAGATGAACTTTCAGTTATCTGTGAATTTTGTGAGCTGTTATACAAAATTAACAAACAAACCCACAGGAGGCAATGAGTCAGCAGGGGCTGGCAGGACAAAGTCCTAACTTGTGAACCCAGCTCTTTGTGGCTGGTGATCAGGGAAAGCCTTCTTGATGAAGAAGGATACAGTCCTTCTAGCTTGTATCATAGCTCCAGGTGGCTAGAGAGAGAGGGGCCAGCTGGTATGAAGTGCAAGGAGTTGTGCAGACACCTGAGCTTATAGCTGGTACATGTTGACCTGAACCTGAGTGACCAGGATGTTTTGACCTGGCTCAGGGTGGCTGAGAATGAATTTTGACCTAACTCTGAGTGTTTAGGGTCAGAGAAAAGAAGTGCCATGGAAGTGGCTGGCAATGAGGAATGAAGCAGTGGGGAGGTAAAGTCTTGATCCACTTACAGGTGGTAATTGAGGTCATTGATCTTTACCGCACAGTTAGAGACAAAGATGGGGTTTGCCCACCTTGTCCCTTTTTTAGTGTAGTTGGATAATGATTATATTGCCTTTTTCTCATTTAAAAATACAGAGAAGAAAGTAATTTATTTCATATTGTGTCTAGAACTGTGATGGCAGCAATTACTTTGAGGGACTTTTTTCTGATCATTGTGATTTGGATGAAAGTTTGCAGAGCAAATTGATTTTCCATTCAACAATCCATACACATCTGTTTTGTGATATTTACTGCAATCCCCACACTGTAATTGCATTCTTCCCACTTCCTCCCTGTGCCCATCCCTTTCTTTTCTTCTCATTCCATCCCACCTTCCT